ATCCTTATGACGACATACACTGACGTCAACACTGTTACCGTCAACCCCGTGTCCTGCTGCTTTATCTGCCCTTTCATTACCCTCAATGCCGATATGACCGGGCACCCATATAAATACGATCTGTTTTCCAGAAAGCAAGATAACATGTAACAATTCTCCAACCATCCGTACCATCGGTTCATTTGGACACATTGCTTGTAATGATTTAAGAGCACTCAACGAGTCTGTAACTATGACAAAGTTATTTCCATTATGACTCATACGGATGAAAAACAGAGCCTGGAAGATGGCATACAACTCCGCAAAGAAGATAGACGCAAAACTCTGTAAGCTCCATGAATAATCACTATCCCCAACCACAAACGCGCAACCAACCCCACTCTCCTTTTTGGAACCATCAGTATAAATAAAAACAGCATCATCATAGGCATTGATTATATTTCTAAATTCAGCTCTAAGTAATTCCCGTGGTGTACTCTCTTTAGCATAACATGTAAGATTTAAATTGAAAACGGGTTTATTTAACTGCCAAGGAGTAAATTCGATACTGCATAAAGAAAGTAAGGGGGGCATCGTAAAATCTAAAGTTCCCAGCAGTTCTTTGGCTCTTACTATTGCCGGTCTTGTGGCTGTTAATCTGTAGACAGGTGGCTGTTGGGAAAACAATATAGAGATTGGGTGCTCAGGTTGTATGCGGTTTTTTACAAAATAATTAAGAATTTGCCCATTACGCCGATGGTGAAGAGGAGCAGTACCAGACTCACAATACAAACTATGAACCGGACTAGTGGGAAAAGCCCCAAGTATGTACCGTATTGCAAGATTGTGTATTACATTAAGTTTTTTGAGTACGGTTATTCTTGCAGAGGAATACACCACACTACTATAATCAATAACAGGCAATATCACACTTTTATACAACATCTTCAGCACTGTAGTATCAGCCCCCCCACCTTGTACCAGATAAAACGCGCAGTAGATTTAATGATTTCCGACAACGCGAAATAATGTACTGAATATGGCTCTGCCATCGTAACTTGGCATCGAATATCATCCCTAAGAATTTAATTTCAGGAACAACACCAATACGGATACTTTGTAAATACAAAGACGGATTTTCTTGATGACGATATCGTCTAGAGAATAGAACACACTTTGTTTTTTGCACAGATACCTTATAACCAATCGATATAGTGTTCTCTAATATAGTGTTGATGGCAGGCTGAAGTGAATTATTAAGTTGTTGTACTGTGGATCCTTTCAAATGTATACAAAGGTCATCCACGTATAAAGATCTTCCTATTTTTGGGTTAAGATTGGATATTACACCATTCATAGCAATGAGAAAAAGGGCCACGCTTAAAGTAGAACCCTGAGGAACGCCATTTTCCAACAAATGCTCCGATGAGATCCCATTCCCCACTCTGACACAAAAGGAACGGTCCGAAAGAAATGATTGAATAAACATAGGCAAAAAACCACGTAAACCCCAGCTGTGCAATTGAACCATTATGCCATGGCGCCATGGCATGTTATATGCTTTTTCTAAGTCAAAAAACACCGCTACCAAAACCTGTTTTTGTAGAAAGGCTTCCTGAATAGCATTCTCAAGCAAAACAATACGATAGATGCTATAATCCCTCAGGAAAAATCAAGCAGAATTCAGCAAGCATGAAAATTCGCAAAGTACGTAGCCCTAGCTGTTTCATATCCAGCTATTGTTCTAACGCGTCTGATAGTAAGAATCGTAACAGATAGAGATCTTTGAAGATACTCAACATGACAGTTCTAGTTCAGATTTGGCATCACGGAAATCCCTAGGAAATTTCCCTCAGGTTTTGCCATTAGGAGAACTTTTTGCGTTTTGTCACCATTTAGCTTTAGACTATTAGCCCTAAACCATTCCACAGCTTCAACCATAATAAGTGAACCTCTGATAAGAATAATGAAAAAAAGATATTATTATTATTAAAACTTATATAATAAAGTTAATATGGATTTAAATAAATAAACTATTTAATTAAACATCTAATTGAGAAGTGGTATGGAGGCGTGGTATGTAGTTCGGAAACGGATTCGTAAACTATTCAAATTCCCCCACAAAACGAAACGTTTGCATATGGGCCACTTCAGGGGAAAGCAACGACGGCAAATTCGCTTAAAATACGGATTAGAGCGTAAATTTAGCGGGGCCTGGCTTAGTGGATCGCCGCAGCCGCAGTTTCACCCGTTCCAGACACGGAATTATTCACATTTTCCGGCGTAAATACACTCGCTCAAAAGTTAGCCAATTCCTCGTTAATGTACGCAGGGGCGACTCAACACCCACCGTGCCGAAAGCAAAGCAAATGTTTGCCATGATCTTTAAGTTGAACCTTTCAAACTTTTTAATTACAACAATAAAATTAAATTAAAAAAATCGATTATTTATTTTAATAATATATAGGCAATAAATTTTCTATTTTAGGTCAACATTCCTATTTTATGAATGGATCGCTCGGCTTATATAATAAAAATTCCTCGGCGAATAATGAGTTCTGGCACCTAATCAAAAGTATTAAAGTGAAATATAGCTGATATTCGAGTTCAACTTTGCGGTGGAGGCGCCTAAAAAAGACAGACGCTCTCTTTTTTATAGTAGTTTGTTACCTTCAATTCCTTCGATGCGCTAAAAAGTTTTAGCGAGGGTAAGAAACAAAGTTTCAAAGTTAAAATTGCACCAACGACGGAGCTTTATAATAAAATTTTCCATATTCTGATCGTTAACTTATATACAATATTCGACAAAATATCAGCAACACCCTGTTTTGAACACTTTGATAAAGATTGTAAACTTTAAGCTATAATTTAACATACATGTCATATCGTGATCCTTAAAAATACAGTCAGTATGATTTTTTGAAAACTTGAATTAATATAAAAAACTAGCCTAGTTTTTTTCTATCTCTTTTAGTAGGTGCAATAGAATCAAACAAAACAGAGTGTCCTTTTGGCAGATACTGTATATATTGTGGTTGGTGACGAGCAAAAGAGAAACAGAGAGAAATTGATCCCAAAAACATATCAGGGAAGCTTAAAAGCTTCATAATAAGGCGCTACCTGAGCTTAGGGAATTAAGAAGAAGGGTTCGGTATAATACTGTATTTAAAATAAGGATCTCGGCTACTTAAGGGATGTTGAAATGAGAAATACATCAGGAAATAAAAGAGAGATAACTACATATTTTAAATTAAAATTTGAATATCATTGTTTACTAAAGAATTAATGCTGTTAAATACTTTTTGTAATTTGCTACGGTAATGAAAGCTATTACAGTACTCAAACGGGTGCTGTAATGACACTCTTTACAGCATCCGATGCTGTAATGAGATTTTAGTGACATTTTATGGAATCAGTTCAAGTTGGTGACATTGGGTCATTAATTTTTCTAGTTGTCAATGTGACAGTGTTTGTCTATGGATGTTTAAACGCGTTCTTANTAAAGAGAGCCAAAACAATTAAAGAGAACATCTCTATTTGTTGAATAGGTTCATACATCTTTTGTCAAACAAGTAAGAACATTTCAAAAAGAGAACAATCAAATGGAAGACGCTGTTATGAATCGACAATGCTCCCTGTCACGCTTCAGAGGCACAGTTGAAAAGCAATGATGGTCAAATTGTAACCATGTTTCTGCCGCTTTAGTGCATCCCGCTACTTCAACTAATAACTCCGCCTGTGTTGGACGACAACAGGTATCATAGCTGATCTCAAGCCCGGATAAAGGAGGAGGGTTCACAGATCAGACCTGGAGGAAAAATTCAATACAGCTCACAGAACCTCAAGCCAACCTCGGAATTTGATTGATGGAAAGATGATGACAACGCACATACGGGTATTTGAACGATCTAAGCGGCCAAAAGTCAAATTGTCAAAAGTCAAAGTCAACCATCCCAGTCAAAAGTCTAGGGTGCTTGACAGGTTAAATCACAATACCCAACGTACCCAACCCCTCCCGCCTTCCCACCGTGCATGTCGCGCTTCCATGGGCTTTCGGAATTTAATAGTGTCACATGGTGTATGTGTTTGTTCTCGGGGCGTTCGTTTGCAACACGGAGTTAATAGTGAATATTTGTTATTTTGCGTTTATTTTGGAAGAAAAAAGTTATGGATCCTGATAAAGGAGGTAAGTATCTACTAATTTAAATATAATTTGTATAATTTTTGTAATTGGAAAGTTTCGTTTTATTATATTGAAATTCACGCGTAATATGGAATATTTTTTAGCTATAATTTGTGTTTAAAAAGGAATATGTTATACTACCAAGTTAGATCCTGTCATAATTCTTGATATAATCGAAAGTTTAAAGCTTTGAGTAATGACTAATCCAAAATTTTGCCGCGGAAAGTCGCGGATAAGTACCTAATTATTGTTTTGAAGAAAACATATAAAAGTCTTTATTTATGTTAAGTGAATTTTTAAGCTGTCTTTTTTGTTTTAGGTTCACATAGAACCTCGGGAACTAGAACTGTGACCCGTAAATACTTGTTCGACCGCATGCACAGCTTTAATTTGCCTAATTTGGAAGAAAAACTGACTTTCTTGAATGAGGAACTTCTGTCATGCGGAGCGTACTCAGAAGAACAAATTAAGACCTTTAAATCCACCTTTGCTCACTTTAAAAGCCAATTAAGACAAAGGTGGTCAGAAGACACGTAAGTTATTTGGAGATTCAAGTGAAAGAACAAAAAGGAGGAAAACTGAGGAGATTCGGTCTAATGTAGAAGAAGATGTGTTCGTTCAAGCTGCTCAGATTCAGTTGCGGAAAAGTGGAAAACGAAATGCTTCCGATATATTAAAAGAAATCACCAATACTAGTCCGACACGTGCAACAAAATATAAGAGGGCATTTTCTGAAACAAGAAAAGAACAAACTGGCCCTCTTACACCATTGCAAGCATTGGCAATGTTTGTAGAAGCTGATTTAAGTCGTCGACAGTTCGAAATAATTAGAAATACCAACAAAAAGTTCTTCCCTTGTTACAGCCTTTTACAAAAGACAAAACAAGAATGTTACCCACCGCCAGAGGCATGCAAAGTAACAAGTACCTGCGCTGAAAGCGACTTACAATCTTTGGTTGATCTAACCGTAAGGCGCCTGTCAATCTCCCTAGAAGAAGTCCTGATGACATTAAATGAGAAAGAACGAGATAGCCTAAAGATAATATGTAAATGGGGTTGTGACGGATCTCAGCAATCTAAGTACAAACAAAAATTTGAAAATGATGCTGACTCAGATGCTAATATATTTCAGAGCTGTTTCGTCCCTCTACGATTTGTTTGTGGCCAAGATGAAAAAAAGATTGTGTGGGAAAACCCAACACCCTCTTCACCACGATATTGCCGGCCAATCAGGTTTCGTTTCGTAAAAGAGAGTACCGACATATCGGAAGAAGAAATTAATTATGTCAAAAACTCTACTGATTCACTAACGGCAACAGAGGTTTATTTAAATGGGGAAAAATTTTTAGTGAAACAATCATTCATCATGACAATGGTAGACGGTAAAGTCTGCAATGCTGCCACAGGTACGAAATCCACAAGCCGGTGCTACATATGCGGTGCAACTTCTAAGGATTTCAACCGATTAGATGTTAATAAAGAGATAAATCCTGAAGCTATTGAGTTTGGGCTTTCGGTTCTACATGCG